ATTTTGTTTTTCAAAATTTAGATATTTTCGTTTTCTGAAATTCAAAAAAAAAAAACTGAAATTTTCAATTTTTCAAATGAATTTTTAGAATTTTTTAAATTACTTTCTTAAAATTCAAAAATTTCAGAATCCATTGCAAATCCTCAGAAGGCGACTGAAGTTTGAAAAATCGACGGATTTCAAAATTTCAATAAAAAATTTTTTTTTCTGAAAATACGGTTATTTTTCTATGGATTTTATTGTGAATACTCATGAATTTGATAATTAATTTTGAAAAAAAAGATTCAACAAAACGAAACTTACGCAAAACAACAACAAAAAAATAACAAAAATTGAAGAGAGATCATTCAACGTCTTCTAAATCTCGATTCTTCTTTTTCTTCTTCTCCTTAACGACTTCTAAATCTTCCACGTCTTCTGGAAGCTCCAAATTCTCCTTCTTCTTCTTCTTCTTCTTCTTTTTAGATTTCCTGGATTCTGAATCTGTGACGTCTTCTGGACTGTCTCCTGAAACTGGGACGTCTTCTGAATTCTTCTTTCTCTTCTTCTTGGATTTCCGAGATTCTGAATCCGCTACATCTTCTGGACCTTTCTTTGACTTTTTGACTTCTGAATCGTTGACGTCATCTGAATTAACGTCTTCTGAATGTCGTCGTTTTCTTTTTTTGGATTTCCGTGATTCAGATTCTTCGTCTGTATTGTCTTCTGAAGCTGGGACGTCTTCTGAATTCTCCACTACCACTAAGTCCTTCTTCTTCTTCCTTGTCTTTTTGGATTCAGAAACCTCCACGTCTTCTGGAAAGTCTTCTGGAGCAGGGACGACTTCAGAATCTTCTTTCTTCTTTCTCGACTTTTTGGGTTCAGAATCTTCCACGTCATCTGGGATGTCTTCTGAATGTCGGATATTCGAATTTATGCCTTCGGAATCTAACACGTCTTCTGAATCCTTCTTCTTTTTGGATTTTCTGGAATCAGAATCTGGCACGTCTTCGGGAACGCCTTCTGAAGTTGTGACGTCTTCTGGATTCTTCTTTGTCTTCTTTTTGGACTTCTTGGATTCTGAGTTCTCAACGTCTTCCGGAAAGTCTTCAGAATTCTTCTTCTTTCTCGACTTTTTGGATTCAGAATTCGTGACGTCTTCTGACTCCGTCACGTCATCTGAATCCTCCTTTTTCAAAATTTCAGATTCCGAATCCGTCACGTCTTCAGGAACTCCAATAAACGAAATTCGAGCTCTTGTCGCCTGCACGTCATCTGAATCCGACTCATCTGACGTCTCCAGAATTTCTCTAGAAACTGGTCGATTTTTTCCAATTTTTCTGGCAATTCTATCCAGCGACGCCCTCTCTTCTCTCACTTCTTCATTCATCTGAAGCGATTCCGATTTTTTGGATTTTTTTCGAATTTTCTCCGGGTCCGCTTTTCCCAAAACCGCCTCAATTTCCATTTTCATCTCTTCATCGATTTTCGGCGCGATTTTTCGTGAATAATTCAGAAGACGTTCGACGTCAACGTCGTCTCCCTCTTCTTCAGAATCCTCCACGTCATCAGAATCTTTCACATGAATCGCCTTCTGGTTCGATGTCAATTTCACTAGAATCTTCTCTCCAGACGCTGTCTCCACCGTCTTTTTCGCCTTTTTCAGTGATAGGTATTCCGAATTTTCTGGATCCAAAATGTTGGGCAACGTCTTCTGAATGATGTCTGAAGGCGTGGTGGCGATGAGGGAGTGGAGTTTGGCGGGGAATTTGAAATTGCGGCCGGATTTTCGATCCATGTAGAGGATGAAGACTTCGATTGCGGCTTGCAGCAGACGACGTGCCGTTGTTGCGCGTTTTGAAGACGTTAGACGGGATTCCTGGAAAAAAGAAGGGATGAAAATTTTAAGATGAGGAATCAGGATGAATGGTAAATTTTTAAAAAAAATTCAATTTTTTTCAATTTTTTTTTAATTTTTTAAAATTTTTTTTTCAATTTAAAAAAGTTTTAATTTTTCAAAATTTTTTCAAAAGTTTCAGATTTTTTTTTCAAATTGTTTCAATGTCTTTCCAGATTTTCGAAATTCTTACCAAGATCCATTTGACACACTTCTTGTTTTTGAGGAATTTCTTCGTCAAATCAGACGCCAACGGATTGGCGAGCTCTGCTTCCAGAACGGCTTCGTAGCGATTTTTATCTGAAAACATTTGGACGCTTTAAAAATTGTTTTCTCGGTATTTTTGTCATTTTGAGGTGGTGGCCGAACTTTGCAAATTTGGTTTTCCAAGCCACCACTTCAAAATGACCTAAAAATGGCCTGAAATGCGCCTGGTGTGTTTTCTATGCCATTTTGAAGTGATGGCCTAACTTTTGCAAGTTCGATTTTCTAGTCCACCACTTCAAAGTGACAAATTGGCCGGACATGCAGTGATGGGAGGAAACGCATTTTCTCGAAATACGGAAATGGAATCGTTCATTTTTCCTGCGGAAACGGAAACGGAAAAATTTTTCAAAAATCGGGCGGAAAACAGAAAACGGAATTTTTTTTTCGTCTATTTTTCAGGATTTTTCTCCCTTCAAACATAAAAATATACACTTTTTACGTTTAAAGACTATATTGGCCTCACTTTCCATGCTTTTTTTCGAGCCAGACTCAGTTCAATGTTTTCGTCATTTGTTACTTTTTTTCCGTTTCCGCTGAAAAAAATTGGCGATTTTTCCGGAAAACGGAAACGGAAAACCTGATTTTCGAATTTTGTTTTCTAGGCCACCACTTCAAAATGACCTAGAAAACACACCAGGTGAATATCGGGTCATTTCTAGGTCATTTCTACATGGTGGCCTAGAAAACCAAATTTGCAAAAAGTTACCACTGCAAGACGAATTCATCATCTCGAAAAAGGTTTTCTCACCCTTCGCCACGTGGATTTTCTTCCATTCCGCCAGCCGTTTCCAGGCCCAAAGAAGGCAATGTAGCTTGATTTGACATCGGAAACCTCGGCGAAGATTTTGGAAGAATTCTACATTCAGTCTGGAAAAAATTAAAAAATTCTGAAAATTACAAATTTGCAAAAATTAGAAAAAAATTCTGCGAAAAAAACACTTTAAAATTTTGTGGAAAATCCGAGAATTCCAAAAAGTCAGAAAAAAAACATTTTCAGAATAATTTCTTATTTTTAAAAATTGAAAATTTTCTCAAAAAAAAAGTCTTACGGCATCATCATATCGTAGAAAATCTTATTGGGAATGAGCT